ACAGTACAATTCTATGATTATATGTGAAACAGTAAATAACCTACTGCAAACTTTCTCCCCTCCTTCCATAGGCACTAAAACTGCAGCTGACTTTCTGGGTGAAATAAGAACTACATAATTAAAAATTTACCGATTGTCAAAGGAGCAACAGAACAAAGATTAGCTGAAAGCCTTTTTCATAACAATAACTGGAAGCTTTCTGCCAAGCTACTTCCCTGAACAGCACTTCCATGTATTGTGAGTTTCTGGCACCCTCTTGTGGCTGAACCTCAGAGAGCCATAAGCATCACGAAGGAAAAACGGACTACTGTTTTAGGCACTAATTCATCAAGGAGGCTCTCTGGGCCTCATAAAATACAAAGAGAATGCCCACGTCAGCAAAGGATGGAGACCAATAAACAGCCTTGGTCCTCAATTTACTGCCGTCGGTTGCACTTTGTTTTATACAGTCACATAATAGAGTGAAATGCCTCCACGATCATAGCTTTCTGAAGAGAGGAGAGAAGTGAGTCATACTGGATATATGGGCATATTATGGCATAAAAAGTGGGGAGATTGACTGCTGGAATTTTGCACTAAAAGAAGGTCAGAAGCCTCCAATTCTGCACATACAAATGAATGCACCTTTATGCAAATTAGTGCTGCTTCTGACCTTTGCTCTCCAGTGGGTCAAAGCCAGTCAGGACCATTTCCAGAAAAAGCAACAATTCCATCAATGTCACTAAAGTCTCTATAGGACTCAGCATATAAGCAATTAAATCAACTGACTTGTGAGAGCAAACAATTGAACATTATATAATATTTAAAGGGAAAAGAAATACAGCCCAGATACCTGCTTTGATTGTTTCCCATACACTTATCTTCACTCTACCTTTTCAAACACACACACACACACACACACACACACACACACACACACTTTCAACTAAATAATTGCACAAGCAGGAGCCAGAACAAACCCCACTGGCACAAAATAGCTTTCCTCCCTCTATGTGTCCCCACACAGAAAAATGGCTCTGGGGCAGCGGGAGAACCCCCCAGAACAGCATGTGGGGGAAGGAGAGGGGAGATCCTTCCATCAGGCAAGCAGAAATGATTGAACTGATGGAGGTCTCTCCTTAGGGCTGCTTCAGATTTCACCCATGATTTGCCTAAGGTTCCATCAGGTCCAGAATGTTCTATTCTGGTACGTATTTAAACAGTACACCAAAACACAGATGTGAAGGAAGCAGAAAGGGCATCGCACCTTGAGGTTCTAATATTTATTCATAAAATGTCTATATCACCTTGAGTAATGAGTACATGCACAGTACACACAGCAGCCGAAAACTCTGCAAAGAGCTATCCAACTCACATCCTTGGTGCTTGACAATGGGGAGAAAAGCCCAGCACGGACTGAAGAGACACAGCAGCCTTATTTGCCTCTCTGCCTTTAATAGAAAGTGTGCTATGTAGGTTATGTGGCTATTTGCTTCTGTGATTTCCATTCCTGATCACAGGCAAACACAAACTACACAAATTTCCACTTTCTTTTCTGTTTTTGTTGGAATTCTCCAACATCCCTAGCTGGGACTAAGATTTCAAAAGGCTGGTGGGCAGGAGAAGGAGCAAGTGGGGATGCAGCAACCATCACTGCTCATTTCTCTCCATCCTAAGGAGAGCTCTTCATTCCCAGAAAATTATCATTTTTAAAAAGAAAGTTAAATTTTCCTTCCCACAGTTGTATGATAAACATTTGGTTCAGAAAGCTACGAATCTGCTGACAGTGATCTTAATCAGAAGCTCCATGTGGTTAATGCTAATCAAAGGCAGGGTTTTTAAAAATGGGGTGTGTCTCCATTTTTGAGGAGATTTCTGCTTCTGACTGTAACTCCCGTTCCCTGAACCAAAGAAGAACATTCAATCACTTTAATTCATTGTTATTCTTGAACAGCCACTCCTGTAGTTCTTCCTTCATCCGGCTTTCAGGAGTGAAAGGTTCTGGCTATGGATCTCATTATAACTGTTCAGATCTTTTTGCAATAAAGAGCATCTCAGCAATAATTACTCCAAAGTTAAAAAAAAAAACAAGGACACAGAAAGCACAAGTGGACAATGGATGGCCATCCCAATGAATAGCATAGTGCCTTTAAGGACACACTTCAGTGGGAAACACTTTGTGAAGCTGTCAAAATGGTATCCAGAACTAAAGGCAGCCAAATGCCACAGGCTGTTCTAAAAATATTTCTTAGGAAAGCATTCACCCAAATGTGCTATGAGCCTGAGGACTAGGGTGACGGCAATGTCACGTCATTGGAAAAACTCCAAAATGGGTTCTTAAGGCAATTACTTGCTTGATATCCAGGTACACCAGCAGGTTTGCTGAGGGCAGAGAAAGGTTTGCCCTCTACTGAATTGCGAGTTAACAAAAGCATGGTCCAGTGTCGGTGCAGGCTCCATTAAATGGCCGACTTGAGACTCCCAGAGAAGTGTTGGCATGAACAACTGAGATTGGCAGGAATGGGTGAAAATCTACCAGGACGAAATGAATCTGTATTCTTTTCCTACAGAGTATGTGGCCATGCTTGGCTTTCAACCCATTTTTAATCAGCAGATTGGGAAAGTCCGCTTATCTCCTGATACGGAAGGGATTGATAATATTCAGTGGTAGGCTGCCATTAAAAAAGACAACTGAATTCCAAGGTATTTGTCTAATGTTACCTATACACAAGTGAGAACAGCATTCACAGAATTACCATATTGGCCCGAATATAAGCTGCACTCCTCCCCCCCCAAGAAGCCTTGAATTTTAAAGATGCGGCTTATTTGCGGGTGAGGCTTATATTCGGGCCAATACGGTAAGATCTCAACAGATGCCATCTGCTTCTTCGAATGACAGGTGCCATCCTATCCCTATAAGAAAGAGATAATACAACCATTTCCAGAGGTGCGCTAACAATTTAGTACATTATTTATTGCACTGCCCACTGTATGGCTGTCTTAGAAGGAAAAGGCTATCTTACCTTGTGTCACAATGTGGCGGATGGGGCAATTCAGTATTATTTTTTATCTGACGAATATAAGTATATATCCTATTAAGCTGCACAGTTTGCAACTGAAGTGAAGAAAATCCGAGTGAGAATCTTGAACCAAATGTTCAATGGTTTGTAAAAGTGGCTTTTTATAATTTGAGCAAGCTAAATCTAAGAGTAATCCCAGGAAGTTTTAAAATTTATTTTAATTTTGATTGCATTTTAAATGGAATGTATCCATGTTTTATGTCTGTGCTAATAGGCATTTTACTATATTTGCAATGGCCTATGGCTACAAGAAATAAATATTTATTAGATTGGCATATGTGATGGTATTATTTATTAAACATATTTACTTCCCCCATTTTTCATTTTGCAAAACCTTCAAAGTATTCATTTTACCCATTCACAGTGCATCTCAAACCTATTTGCTTGTTAGCAACCAACACGGTTCACCCTAAATAAAGGTGCAAAGGCTGACACGGAAACAAGGAATAGGTTCAGAAAGAATGTGGATATAAAGAACCAACAGGGTAAGTTCCAGATTTGGGGGGGGGGGGGAGAGACTGCCTGGATGGTGAGGGCAAGAGAAGTGGGGGATGCTGCTGCAACATAGCAAAGAAGAAGAGGAGAAGCAGGTCCAGGAGATTCTGAGGACCTACACTGGGGTCCGTCCTGAGGTGCAGACCTCAACCAGTGCCCAATGATGCCAACCCTAAGATCTGCCCTGGTGGCCAGCGCAGGTACTGTCTGAGAACACAAATGAATGCAAGCCAGAGTTCAGACGAGGCAGTGGAGGAAATGAAGCAGAAGGTGAGGCAGGAGGAGGAAAGAAATTGGCGCCAAGGGGGATGGAAAGATAGGGAACAGCAAGCTGGGAAGAGACAGGATGTAACTCAGACTATCTTCAAAGCTACAGACTGCCTCTATTACCTTATTCTGGTATACATGCCCAGCACTGGTGCGTATCTTGCTAGTTCAAACATTTAAAAAAATGAGTATGAGTAGGGAAACCTTTGTTGCATCTGCATATGCATATGGTGAAGCAAGCACTGAAAAGTTGGGATAAGCATGTGAATAATATGCTAAGTGAGCTTTAAGAGAAAGGAATTTGCCAGTCTTACCTATTAAGACTTTTCAAGCTCTTCTCCATTTTCACAATATTATGCATTTTATAGATGAACCATTTATCAATGGCTGTAAGTTTATGGATATAGTCTACAGGGTTGTTGTCATTCAAGGCCTGCCGGAAATAGGTATTGATCAGTCACAGTTCATGGACAAAGAACTGGTTTGTTCATGAGTATATGATTAGTTGAAAATATATGCTAGGTATATTCTCCACCTTGGGCCCATCTGAGAAGGGGCTAAAGGAGTGTGGCTTCCAACAGCAGTTTGGATGGGCTCTGTAAGCCACAAACTAAAACAATGCTCTGAATTTTGCTGTTGTTTTCACTTACTGAAAAACACTTTTATGCTTAACATCCTTTTGAGTTACAGGTAGGTAGCCGTGTGGGTCTGCCATAGTTGAAACAAAATAAAAAAAAATCCTTCTAGTAGCACCTTAGAGACCAACTAAGCTTGTTATTGGTATGAGCTTTCATGTGCATGCACACTTCTTCAGATACCACTTTTGAGTGCCTCTTTGAAATTGCGGTTGTCCTGGACACCAGAACAAACTGTTTACAGTCCCCTACGAATTATTTTGAAAGTGGGAAGCTACACACAAGTCCACATGACTGTATGCAGAGCCAGGCGTGGGCTTGGGCATCGCTTTTACCAGTTACAGGGTCTCAGAGGGGATTAAAAAATAATGCGAAGGGGTTCTCTCTAAGCTTCAACAGAGTCAGCTCTAAGTGAGCGTCTCCATACTTGGCCAGAGATTATTTAATTTTTCTTCTTACATTTATGTTTTGCCTTTCTTCCACCACAGAAGCCAAAGCAGTGGTCCTGGTGTTCCCAGGCGGTCTCTCCATTCAGACACTGACAGGGCAGATAGCTCAGGTGGTAGAGCATGATACTCTTGATCTCAGGATCATGGATTCAAGTCCCACACTGGGCAGAAGATTCCTGCATAGCAGGGGGTTGGACTAAGTAACCCTCCAGGTCCCCTCCAACTCTACAGTTCTAGGATTCTAGTCCTGGGCTTGCTGAACAAGGAGGTTGCTTCCTGTGCCTTCAGGCCATACGGGGTCAGATTACACATTTCTCTTGTTCCCAAAGCTCAAGAGCACGCATTGGCAAACTCGGCCCTATAGATGTTTTGGGACTAGAATTCCCATCATCCCTGACCACAGGTCCTGTTACCTAGGGATGGTGGGAGTTGTAGTCCCAAAACATCTGGAGGGCCAAGTTTGCCTATGAATGCTCAAGAGCTTCCCTCAGCTGTTCCCTGATTGGTTCCTCTGCCATTCTGTAGTAGAGCATGCAGGGATTCTCCTAGTCAGTGGGTTGGCAGAGGAGTCTCCTTGCAAACAGAAAGTTTGAAAACCCTGCTGCTATATTTGCACAGGGCTCTGCAGAACCTTATTATCTATTGTAGAATATTTACAACATTCCTCTTGATACCTGCAGCTGACATTGGTATGTTTATTCAGATGAAGGTTTCTATACTTAATGCAGGCTTCAGTTTCCTTCTGAAGTAAAGAAAATCATTTACAGTGGTGCCTCGCAAGACGAAATTAATCCGTTCTGCGAGTCTCTTTGTCTTGCGGTTTTTTCGTCTTGCGAAGCATGGCTATTAGCGGCTTAGCGGCTATTAGCGGCTTAGCGGCTATTAACAGCTTAGCGACTTTAAGAAAAAGGAAACAAACTCGCAAGAACTCACAAGACGTTTCGTCTTGCAAAGCAAGCCCATAGGGAAATTCGTCTTGCGGAACGACTCAAAAAACGGAAAACTCTTTTGTCTAGCGAGTTTTTCGTCTTGCGAGGCATTCGTCTTGCGGGGCACCACTGTATACCAAACGTCTTTTGTCCAACATTAGTCTCCATAGTTGAGAAGGCAGGTGCAATTCATGGACTAAGAAACAGTTTGTTTGTGGTTATATGGTTTGCTGAAAATATGTGCCAGGCAGCCCTGCACAATCTCTTTGGCGTGAGCCTTGGGTGCTTTGCCTCCCCCTTGAACTGCTACTTCAAGCAGCACTGCTCGGCCTTTCTGGATACAGACTCAAGGGGTCCTTGCCTGGATTTCTTCATTGCATTTGGTTTTCAAATGCAAATAGTCATAATACTTTTCAATCCAACAAAAATAAATGACACTTCTTGAGGAGGGGAATGGAGGTTTAAATAAGGACTTTTGACAGGACTTTTGACAGGACAATCTAGGGATAGATTGTTCATGCTCCAGGTGTCAGAACAATGTTTAGGGACTACTGATCAGCACACTGCCAGCTGTCTGAACTATATTTTAACAAGTGAAGAAAGGTGGATGATGATGATGATGATGATGATGATTATTATTGAGGAACTAAGATACTGATTTATATAATTATGTATTCTAGAATAATCAATATCTACCCTTCTCACACTGAAGAATATTAGGAATGAGACCAGAAAAATACTTGTGCAATAAAGTAGGGAATCTGAGAGAAATGATTGCCAATGCATGTTTCTGTGATGGAAAATTAGCAATTAGATCCTACCTCTTAATAGGGAAGATTTCATGTAAGGCTGCCACAATGACTACTTATGGCAATGACCCTCTTTCTTACAAATTAGAGAACAATGTGGTGGGATATGTCACCACAGAGAATTTCAAGGTAATTTTGTCAGAGGGCTCACCAGGCACTTCTATTTTTGCTCCAACAGTACTTATTATCCACCACCCCAAACTTAAGGACCACATGGCATGGAAGCACCAAGTGCTGATCTCTTTTCTTAATTTGTAATTTGATGGGAAAAACTGGCTGGTAATAATCAGGTAAGCTGATCACTGCAAAATCACCAATCATGGGTAAGGATGGGAGGGGGGAGTATCTACAGGGCAGATGAGATCCAATCTTTCTACAACAATACCTTGGCCATAGCAAACACCCGTGTGCTGGAGGCTTCGGCTAGCTCTTTCCTGAGGTCCATGTTGGCAGGCCACTCTTGGTTCACTGGCAGACTTGCTGCGAAGCCATCGACGGAGGGGTGGCACATCCTTAAGGCCTTCTGAAAGCTCTCTTCAAACGTTCGCCCAATAGCCATAACCTGCGGTAAGGAAATTCATTTGACTGGTCTGCACAGAAGATGCCATCTCTCTGCCCCAGAATTTCCCAGACTCCTCCATCAAGGCAGGACCATTTGGGCTCCCGCTACAAGAATGCCATAAGGAAAAACATCAGGCTGAAACTTCCATGGAAAAGAGTTCAGAGCACAGAAGAAATCTGTGCAACAGGAGGTCACAGCAGGATGTAAAGCCGCAAGAGGGAGCCATGGAACGTCTACCTTTTGTCACAGGAATGGGGGAACCTGCAGCTCTCCAGATGCTGCTAAACTACAACCCCCATCAAGCAGACTGTTGGCTGCAGTGGCTGGGGCTGAGGGGAGTTGGACTCCAACAACATCTGGAGGGCCACAGTTTACCCACCCTTGCTTTAAAACAGGTGTGAGGAACTTTGGGCCTCCAGATGTTGCTGAACCACAACTCCCATAAGCCGCCAGCAAGCAAGGGTCAATGTCCAAGATTGATGGGAGTTGTAGTTCAGGGACATCTGGAGGCCCAAAGGTGCCTACACATGCTTTAAAAAGTAGATCACTGTTTAATGTATAAACGAAACACTTCCACGCACAAAAGAGCAGCTCCACTGTCAACTGTACTCCTGTCTCTTCTGCATGTTGCATGCTGTATTCATTCAATTATACATATCCTTACTCATTCTCTGGTTGAGGCAGCTTACAAACCCAAATGAAACAGTCCAAACATTTTTTTAAAAAAGTACTGAAATAATTAAAATCACAGCAGACTATGCATAAATTGCCTTGCTTTTTAATCCTCAACTGTACATTCCCTGACCCCTAAAGCTAAAAAGGAGCTCGCCGCAACAAAATCTTATACATCAGTGGAACCATGCATATATCAGCAAAATCTGTCTGTTTCCTAAAATTTTCTGGAGATGTATTGTTGATAATGCTAAAAAATGTTTTGCATATTCATTTGACTCATCTACACAGCTGCAAATAAAACGTTATAAATGTGTTGTAAAGTGCAATATACAAATGTGACACTATATGGCCACAATGAGCTATGCAAAATTCAACGTATTTTTCAAAACATTTTTTTAAAAAGCATTTTCGCAGTGTTTTTTTATGTGTGTGTAGATTCCACCAGTGACACTTGATCAAAATTCAACCTTACTGGAAAGCAACAGTGAGCTTTTTCTGTTCCTAGAAAGCATTATTTTAGGTTTATTTAAATGTTCATTAAGTGAATTGCCTTAACATGGATCCATCTTACTGCAGCTGTAAGAGAGCTGTAATAAAATGGAGGACCAAAAAAGAGTCCAGATCGTGGATGGTACAGTCTGCCCAACTCCATTCCAATCTGGGTTCAATCTGGGGCATGGGACTTGGTCACCCTTGGCAGGGGTGGAGGAAGGGGGGTGCGGTACGGGGAGACCGTCTCGGGTATCACCACTGAGGGGGGTGACAAAATGCCAGGTGGCACTCACCGCGGGGCCTGCAGCACGCCCAAGTCACACATCTCTCCTTAGGCGCTGCCCAAACGGTCTGCCCGCTGCCTCCCCCTCAGCTGTAGGGCGGCTGAGTGGGAGGAGGCAGGCAAGACTCCTCAGAGGCCCCGCAGAGCGTCCTGCCCCGCCCCTGGGCGCAGGACCCGCACGCCACCCCAGGCGCCCGGTCGGCTTGCTCCGCCCCTGACCCTTGGTTGCCCCAATGAGAGCAGGCCAAGGGGAGTGTGACCTTGCTCCTGCTCTTCAGCCTCTCTGTTGCTTTCAATATCACTGGCCATGGTATCCTCCTGGACCGGCTCTGTGGGACACCAACTGAGGGCATTGTGCTACAGTGGGTTGGATCCTATCCACATGACCAAGTTCAGAGACAAACACTAGAAGAGTGCTTTTTAGGCCCTCTGGTGGTTATGCTTTGGGCTGCTGCAGGGCACGCCTTTATTTCCAAAGCTATTTGATATCTATATGAAGCTGCTGAAAGTGGTCCTTAGGACATTTGGGGATGCTGATGACACTCAGCTCTATTTTTCCATAGCATTTGAACCAGAATAGCCATGTGGGCCCTGGCTAGCTCAATCCTGGGCATTGCAGCAGGCAGGTAAGCTTGGAGGAATCAAGACTGGTTGGGCAGTTCCCCCATTTCCCCTATGGAACAGCCTCCACTGCTAACAACCACAGCTATGGTAGGAAAAGAAGCCAGATGATGCTGCTTGAATAGATTTGTTAACTTTTTGTTTTTAGAGTTGAAAGCTCTTTTAAGTGACATTTAATCCACTGTAAAGCTGTTTGAGCTTATGAGAAAGAAGTGTATATATATCATTCTGCCCGGACACTGAGGTCCAGTGCCGAGGGCCTTCTGGCGGTTCCCTCCCTGCGAGAAGCCAAGTTACAAGGAACCAGGCAGAGGGCCTTCTCAGTAGTGGCGCCTGCCCTGTGGAATGCCCTCCTAGCAGATGTCAAGGCAATAAATGACTATTTTACTTTTAAAAGACAACTGAAGGCGGCCCTGTTTAGGGAAGATTTTAATGTTTGATGCTGTATTGTTTTTAATATTTAGTTGGAAGCCACCTAGAGTGGCTGAGGAAACCCAGCCAGATGGGCGGGGTAGAAATAATAAATTGTTGTTGTTGTTGGAAAGTGGCTCACATGACGTTGTGCACGCGCACGATACAAGTCGCTCACACAACATCTCACACGCGATACGCATGCCTCTGGCCCGTCGCCAACTAAGTTACACTCACAGAAGATCCATTAAAATGAATGGATGTGGGTAATTTAGGATCATTAATTTCCACGGGTCAACCCCAAATATAGCTTAGATGGCTACAAACCTTAGGTTTTGAAACCCAACAATGATCAAAATAGTGATTTTTAGGACAAACAATTATTC